TATGTCTCCTTGTCTTTGTGGCCTACGAGCCGCTCATAACAAAGAGTAAGTTATTTTTACCCGTTATAAACTACTACTGTTTGATGAGAAATCAAATCATGGTTTGCTATATATGAATTCAGGGAAGAAAGGATAGGCCTACTAAGTATTTCCATTAAACTTTATTTTTAGAAATGTACAAAATGAACATAAATATACATATATACACGGTATATCATCCATTCCTCCTCCTTGCATCTTGCCTGCGCACAGTCAGTGCGGTGCCTTTTAGCACGACGCCTCAGTAGTAGTAGAAGTGCCTTTTAGCACGTCATGGATTGTCCGCCAGGATCTGGCTGGACGAAATCAAATGCAAATCACAAAATATTAGAGAAACTTAGTTGTTTTAGATTCGTTAGTAGTAGTTGTGTAATGAACAGCTTGCCTGCTAATATGCTAACCTAGCTTTGTTTACCTTGGTAGCTAACACGATATGAACGTTAGCTTGGAGGAAAGGCAACTATAATGCAGTGTAATAAAACTACTATGAACAAAAGCTAGTGGTTCATATTAGGCTAGCAATAACGTGTTTATAATTGCAATCGTATACGGGTATTCTGCTACCATACAATGTAACTTGCATGAATACATTGTTTTGCGCTAGCATACAGCTAGCCTCGTTAGCTACATGCAGTATATGTACGGTCACAATGTACGGTAAATCACAGTACAGTATACTGTATGAGTATTCCGTGTGTGTGAATGCAGACATTCTCCTGCTATGAGATACATGTATGCAAGGCCATCTGCTGATATTAGAGTTGATATATGGAAACGCTAGCAACTTAGTTAGCACAGTTAGCACTGTGTCAATGGCTTAGCAGTCCAACACAGTTTACACATTTAAACAGTCTTGTTTGATAAATACACAAATAACAATGCAAACTTACAGGTTGTATACCCAGATCTTCCCCTGCTCCAAACGGTCCAAACAAGCTGTGCATATCCGGCCTCAAACTGGGCAATGTTTTGGAAGCTTTCGTCTGTGAAATGCCGGTTCTTCGAACCTCTGGAGGAGGAACACGCCGCTGCTGGTGTGGCCATAGCTCTTCGGGATTGGTCCATTTCGTTCCGGGTACCGCATGACATCAGGCGGTACCCGGAAGAATCAAATGGGCAGTGACGTATCTCCAACGAGGCGTTTTGGGGAGGTATTTTCTGTGTTAGAGTTTTACTCGCTACAGGGTGTACTTTGAGGGTTTTGACTCTGCACACCGTTTACATGCATAAAAACCTTCATAACACACAAGGGGACGGGTAATAACCGGAAAAGCATGACATGGGAGCTTTAAGACAACATTGTGTTTTACGGCTAGGGATGCGTTGCCATGGAAACGGCATACAGTGAGATCTCCGATTTCACCTAGAGCTGTTGAGGGCCGGACTACTAGCCATCATCTGAAGTGTGGTGCAGTTTGGAAGATTTTCCATTGACTTAAGACAACATCGTGTTTTACGGCGAGGGATCCGTTGCCATGGAAACGGCATACGGTGAGATCTCAGATTTCACGTAGAGCTGTTGAGGGCCGGACCATTAACTGTCATCTGAAGTCTGGTGCCGTTTGGAAGGTTTTCCATTGAATTAAGACAACATCGTGTTTTACGGCGAGTGATTCGTTGCCATGGAAACGGCATATGATGACATCCCAGAATTGGCGTAGAGCTGTTGAGGGCCGGACCATTAACTGTCATCTGAAGTCTGGTGCAGTTTGGAACATTTTCCATTGACTTAAGACAACATCGTGTTTTACGGCGAGTGATTCATTGCCATGGAAACGGCATATGATGACATCCCAGAATTGGCGTAGAGCTGTTGAGGGCCGGACCATTAACTGTCATCTGAAGTCTGGTGCAGTTTGGAACATTTTCCATTGACTTAAGACAACATTGTGTTTTACGGCTAGGGATGCGTTGCCATGGAAACGGCATACGGTGAGATCTCAGATTTCACGTAGAGCTGTTGAGGGCCGGACCATTAACTGTCATCTGAAGTCTGGTGCCGTTTTGAACCTTTTCCATTGAATTAAGACAACATCGTGTTTTACGGCGAGGGATGCGTTGCCATGGTAACGCCATATTAAGTAACATAAACTTTGACGTAGAGCTGTTCAGGGCCGCAGTGTTAACCATCATGTGAAGTTTGGTGGCGTTGTGAGCATGTCAGTTTCAGTTATGACATCATCGTATTCCATGGCGTTTGATGGGCCTAGCATCAAGCGAACGCGAACTTTGGCGCCAAATAACGGCTGTGCCGTGCGAAAGAAAAAAACTTCCGTGATAACTTTTAATTGCCCATGTCTCGAGATGCTACCCGACGAATTTCGAGTCGTACGGATAAAGTCCCTGGGAGAAGATAGATTTCGTGCGGAGGACGAAAAACGCGATAAATCGCGTTTTTCCGACTCCAAATTCAAAATGGCCAGCTTCCTGTACGTTATTTTACACCCCTTCAAGAGGCTTTTTGGTTTGTCTCCGCACCCGAGATATGCGTAGCGAGTTTCGTTCGTTTACGTGAAAGTTAAAGTGGGGGGAGTTTAGGTTAAAAACGGAAGTGGTCGTGGCCTACGCAATTTTTTACGCAAAGTTCCGGAACCAATTACACATCTGAAGTTGCACCACTTCTGACGCGCGTGCAAAATTTGGTGAGTTTTCACATATGTTGCGGGGGTCAAAGGTTTATCGGTCGCTGCGCGACCGATTTCAATAGGGTCTTCGCCGACCTAGGTCTCAGACCCTAATAAAAGAAGAGTGATGTCAAATTAAATACAACAAGAATTTCAGATGTGTCACCTCTCAATTATTTCTTAAAAAAGCTGTAAACCTTAATTGTATTGCTAAACGAGACCAGACGTCTCTTGGCATTAAGATTGTGAGACTTCTAGTTTGAAACTACAGACTCAGTTCACAAATGTCGGTCTCTTCCAAGTCTCTCCATTGCTAAGTTTCAATGATGTGACTTCACTCTTTTCCTCTGGAGTCTCTCATCATCTTAAACACAACAAATCTCTCACAGATTCAAGATCCAGTTGTTCCTGCATTAATGTGAACTATCTTTGGATTAATCCCCACCACTGTTGTTGTTTTTCTCCCTGCTGCCTGATGGGAAACGCAGGCTTCTTGTTGAGTGTTGTGATGTTTCTAACAGCTGAATGTTTGACACACACTAGAGGACACGTGAGGCGGAAAGATGGCGATGTCTGAAGGTAAATATGGGCTTCAGTTTATCTGAAGTACAAACGTATCAACCTTTGAAGTAAAGGGATAAGGTATATTACATAAATGGAGGTGTTTGATGTTTAAAAATCATCATGAATTGCTTTTATTTTCATGTTGAAGGAACAGTGCAAAGTGGTTGCAAAGACTGATGTATGTATTGTGTATTATTTTTCAAGTGTGGCGGCTCTGATTCGACTCAGCACATAATAACCGGTTATTTTCTATGTAAATTCATGAATCGTACAGGATATTAAAACTATTCACTTTAATGTGATGTAACACAACAATTTGTCATATTCAACAGGCTAAAAACAGAATTAAATGTACTGCATTGTACTGCATTAGCTGACTTCTGCATGTTTACATGACAATCCTCTATATTGTGAAGTCATTTAGAGACACTGAAATCATTTACAACATTATAAGAAGGCAGGTGATTATTAATCAAGAGCAATATGGGTGTAACGAGGTTTAAAAAACTGGTATTTATGTGATTTCAAAACACATTTTAGGTATAAACATCAACACATTTAGTCTATTGCACCTTTGTATTGCACTATTAAATGTTATTTTCTTTTATGTTAAGTATAAGTAGCATGGGATTTCACATTTACATTGCAAATAAAGACAAATAAAGGTTTTTGAATCCTTTAAAATAGAATACAGCAGCAGGGAAACAAAAGAAATGCATGTTTGACTGATTAAAAAACGAAATGCTTCTGAAAAGCAGCACGTGTCTGCAGTGTGTCTCAAAGAGAGAAAAGGTGTGTGTGAGAAACCAACAGGTGACTATCTGCTTGTACACACAGACTGAGAGATACAGTAAGTCACACACACACACACACACACACACACACACACACACACACACACACACACACACACACACACACACACACACACACACACACACACCTCAGATAACAGATCCAGGATGGAGGGCAAACATGAACACACGTTAACACACACATTTGCACACAGATGTTTTGCACCAAAGCCTCTCTTACAGTAGCTGGACTGATGCTGAGGTGCTTAGTTAGCGTTTAAGTTGATTTAACTTTAGCTAATGTTTCCTGCTGAGGACGGAGACACTTTAAGATCTCATCTGGATGGACAGAAACTGTAGCTGCAGCAGAAAGAAAAGACAACAAGAGGATCTTAACGTGATTTCAGGTCAGCTCCAACTCCCGGATGCATTATTTGTGGTAATTGTTTTGTTATTGTCAGTCTTCAGTTCTCACAGTTTAAGACATTTAAAGCCCTGATGCATCATTTTCAGTCTGATTTGTTTAGTTTATCTCCACTTTTCAACGGACCATCAAGCTGCATTTAATCCCAACCTGACGTCAGGTCCACAGCTGCAGGAATAAGATGACACAGCTCTCTGAAGACACTGAAGTCTTTGTTTTATTCCTCCACAACAACACCTGCCAATTGTGCATTTGTTTATCCACATCACCGTCACATACAAAGAGATTTGTCACAGTTAACATGCAGATCTCTGCTGTGAAATATTTACACTTTGCAGTATGCACTACTGTTATTATTAGCTGCTTCTTACATTTACTGTATACGTTCTGTTATCTCCCCTTACTTATTTGTATTTTATCAACATGTTCTTGACTCTTAATCTAATATTCTTATATCTGCACTGTGCCCTTTGCTGTAACACTGTCCAGTTCCCTGCTGTGGTGCAAATAAAGGATTGAATGAGTGAAGATGGACCTGAGGAACGCCTCCTCTTAATGCCAGCAGAAACCAACATGGAGGAGTTGGACATCGAAGAAAAAGAGAGGAAAGGTGAGTGAGAGATGATGTTACTTTGTGAGTTGATTGTTAGCAACTTGACACACCAACGATTCAGACAAATGTGATGGGAATGTGATTAGTGCTGCAGGAAAGATGTGAGTTTTTGACCTGATGATGGCGCTAAATCCTAGTTATTACCATCATGGATGTTTAAACCAAGTTTCATGAAAATCCATCCAATATTTGTTGAGGTATTTCAGTCTGGAGAAAGAGATGGACCAACCAACATTACCATCCATTCATAAAAATGGGTCAAACAAACCCAGCAAGATAACAATCAGACAAACAAAACCGTCAAGATACGTTCTTTTTAAACAACTAAAATGCCTCGGTTTGACAAACTGTATAGAGCTTCATAACAACAACTATGATGATTAATTAATGGTTTCAGTCATATTTCCACGTGGGAAAAGTGAAACAATAACCATGTTCTTTAACTCCAGCCTCTTACATGAGAGGATTTCCTGCTTTACTTTGTCACATATCTTTGTAAAATAAATATTTTGGGTGTATTTTGACTTTTCCTCCCACAAAACAAGATATTTTAAAGGCACACGTCCGGTTGTGTAAAGTTGTGATTGGCATTTATTGATGTAAAAAGACTAAACTATAATTGATTGTTTAAAAAAGGTATCTGCAGATTAATTGTTTGTGAGTTATTATGAGTAGTGTGTAAAATGATCCGTTGTTTTTTCCCTACTGTAGAGAATACGTTCTAAAGGTGCATCAGTGTAGAAATAGACGGTGTAATAGTATATTTTTTACTCCTTTTTACAATCTATCAATCAATCAGCCTGTGACCCCTGATCACCGTCCTCAGACCCCCCACAGGGTCCTGACCCACAGGTTGAGAAACGGTGGCAGATGACAGATATTTGACCTGATGGTTGACTTCCTGTTGGAGAGTCTTTGCTGCTCAGTTTGTCTCATGAGTCAGGAAGGATTAACTCAGGAGATACTAAACAAATGATTTACAGGTATTGAGAATATTAAGATTATTTATAGAGACAGACAGGTAAATGAGTGGAGGGACAGACAGGTAAATGAGTGGAGGGACAGACAGGTAAATGAGTGGAGGGACAGACAGGTAAATGAGTGGAGGGACAGACAGGTAAATGAGTGGAGGGACAGACAGGTAAATGAGTGGAGGGACAGACAGGTAAATGAGTGGAGGGACAGACAGGTCAATGAAGTCTCTGTTGGATTGACAGCTGGATTCACACTGAGACGTAAACACTTAATCTCTGTGGTTCAGACTGTAGCAGACAGACAGGTGGAGACCATGTGTTCACTGACTGTAGAAACAGAGAGAGAGAGAGAGACAGGGGAAAAGAGAGAGGTGGATGTGTGCAGTGAGACAGGCAGCAAGCAGTGAGACAGGCAGCAAGCAGTGAGACAGGCAGCAAGCAGTGAGACAGGCAGTAAGACAGGCTCTGTACTGTTAGTGGTGTGCAGAAAGACAGGCATTGAATAAGGTACTGTACTGTAGGAGCTGTGCAGGGAGACAGGTACTATAGGAGCTGTGCAGGGAGACAGGTACTATAGGAGCTGTGCAGTGAGACGGGTACTGTACTGTAGGAGCTGTGCAGGGAGACAGGTACTATAGGAGCTGTGCAGTGAGACGGGTACTGTACTGTAGGAGCTGTGCAGTGAGACAGGTACTGTAGGAGCTGTGCAGTGAGACGGGTACTGTACTGTAGGAGCTGTGCAGTGAGACAGGTACTGTAGGAGCTGTGCAGTGAGACGGGTACTGTACTATAGGAGCTGTGCAGTGAGACAGGTACTGTAGGAGCTGTGCAGTGAGACAGGTACTGTAGGAGCTTTGCAGTGAGACAGGTACTGTAGGAGCTGTGCAGTGAGACGGGTACTGTACTGTAGGAGCTGTGCAGTGAGACAGGTACTGTAGGAGCTGTGCAGTGAGACAGGTACTGTAGGAGCTGTGCAGTGAGACGGGTACTGTACTGTAGGAGCTGTGCAGTGAGACGGGTACTGTACTGTAGGAGCTGTGCAGTGAGACAGGTACTGTAGGAGCTGTGCAGGGAGACAGGTACTATAGGAGTTGTGCAGTGAGACGGGTACTATAGGAGCTGTGCAGTGAGACAGGCAGTGTGCAGTGGGAAAGGAAGTGAGACAGGTACAGTAGCAGTGTTGAGTGACAGCTGGGTCTCAGATTAAATCAGCTCTTCTTATTAGTGGCTGCAGACAGTCAGTGAGACAGGTACAGTGAGTACAGTGAGACAGGTACTGAGCAGGTAGACAGGCAGAGAGCAGTGAGACAGGTACTAAGCAGGGAGACAGGTACTGTAGCAGCAGTGAGACAGGTACTGAGCAGGGAGACAGGTACTGTAGCAGCAGTGAGACAGGTACTGAGCAGGGAGACAGGTACTGTAGCAGCAGTGAGACAGGTACTGTAGCAGCTGTGCAGTAAGACATGCATGTGAGGATGGAGACCAGCAGTGAGACAAGTACAGTAAATACAGTGAGACAGGCACCGAGCAGTGAGACAGGAACTGTAGGAGCAGTGAGACAGGTACAGTAGCAGTGTTTGAGTGACAGCTGAATCTCTGATGAACACAGCTTTTGTAAGTGGCTGCAGACATACAGTGAGACAGGTAGAGTAGGTACAGTGAGACAGACAGGTAGCAGTGTTTGAGTGACAGCTGGATGAACACAGCTCTTCTTGTTAGCCTCAGATAGACAGGCAGTGAGACAGGTTCTGGTTCCTGTTGGCCTCAGATTGGATCCAGATGTTGACTCTGCTACTGTCCGCACTTTCTCTCACTGCCTCACTGTTTTACTGTCTACCTGCATACCTGTCTCACTCACACACTTCCTGTCTGTCTGCAGACCTACCTGAGCTTTCTAAGAAATAGACCCTGACTGTGCTCTTATCTCCAAACTTCATCTAACTCTCTGGTTCTTGACTTTGGACAGAGATGAAGAACTCTGGATGTCAGTGTTCATTTAACATTTGGAGATATCAGGTTTTATGTGGATTTGTACAAAAAAAAGGCATTATATAAACCTGAACAAACTATTAAAAGCTTTTTGGTCAGAGTAGTGACATGGTGTTCATTTCGGACCCTATTTTCACATTTGCTTATCTTTGGGAGTACTCTTTATTTCACCATCTGTAACACCAGTTTTATTTTGAAAATTATTGTCTGTCTCTACTTCCTGTCTCTGTGTGTTCCTCCTGTTTGATCAACTGACCTGGGTTGCGGTCGAATAGTCCGTTGGCGTTTAGCTTAGGAACCTTCCTAACGGAGTGAAATGACCCGGAAGTCCCTCAGTGGCAGCCATGATAAGAGCCGTTCAAATTCTCTAGATGAAAGGAAAGGAGGTTTCAAACTTCCTTTACAACCTCCTTTAGCCTAGGAACCACTGGACCTCCCTAACCTAAAGGAAAGGAGAAAGTGCTGCCCCACAATGCCTTGCAGCCGCAGCATTTGCCGTCACACAACATTCGGCCGTTCACGGAAACAACCGATTATGACCGACAAATGATATCATGAAAGTTACGGTGGTTATTAAGCATTTTAAAACGTATGTGGTAAGTTGCCAAAATGCTTTGTTTTGAACGTTCATCAGTATTATAATCAAAAAGAGAAATATGAACGTTAGTTTTTACTGAAATGATCAAATAAAGTCAACATTTCACAGTCTTTACTGAGCTGTGTGGGGTTTGTTCAACTTTTAAAAGATGTTTGAATGGTGATATACACAGTGATAGATGTTAAGGACTAACGTTTATAATAAATACATTTGTATTTATTTTAAGATCTTTTCATACAATCATACGTATTGGGATCATTTGTATTAATGTGGACCGGAGGGAGAGGGTGACGAGCATAAGTTTCACTTTCCTTTTTTATTTCAATTCCAACTTTGGTCATGAAGAATATGTTTCTCTGTTGTCCCCGTTCATAAAGCATAAAACAACAGCATCAGAGCACGGTGCAGAGTCTCTAGATGAGTTTACAGTAGTCCCTCGTTCTTATTAAACATCCATGTTGTAGTCCGCTGGATAGAAAACTGTAGTTTCCATAGTTTCCCCACAGCAGCAGGCGCACATTTATGACCTCCGCTGGCGCATCATAAACACGTCGGATAGTGAAAGTGCAGTCGGATTCTCAAAGCACCGCGGTCTCTTCTCCTAAGTCCTTTTGAATTCTCCTATCCACTATCCCTTAACCCTGTGAGGTTTCACACAGAGGTCAAGGAATAGACGATAGGGATAGACGATAGGAGCTGATTTTTTGACTATTCTGCCGCAACCCTGGTGTATTTTGTCCTTCCCTCCCCAGCTGTATCTTGTCCTTGTGATTAGTATTTGTATTTAAGTTCTGGTTTTCTGTTGTCAGATCCTCGTTATATCTTTTGTGGAAGTGGTTAAGTAGAGTTTCGTCAATTTTGTTTCACCTGGCCTTGCCCTGATCTACCCGAGTAAAGGTATTTTCTGTTGAACTGTTGTCTGCATTTGGGTCCAATCTGCTCTAAACCCCTGACTCTTTAACAATTCTATGCTATTCCATATAGATCAATTAAAAGGTACATCCCTACTCTTGACAATATTCAGTAGCACTACATTTTGAGGAATTCTGGATTAGTTACAAACAAAAAACATTGCTTCCCAACAATGAAATTGAATCGTATTTTCTTGTTTGTTTACGTATCACAAGATCTTAACGTATCTTATAAAGTCTTCGTTAATCCACGTAGGAAACGGGTCGGGTAGGATCGAGGACTTTAACCCAGAAAACGCATGTTTATTCACGTAATATACTTTACTAATGTACTTAACTTCAGATCTTACATCTTGATCTTTTACCAATTCTCACCAAGTAGTTTTGTTTCAATTCACTGCGTTAATCACGTGTTTTGGACTGATATCTAAATCTGTGAGACAATACGCTACTAAACTAAATAAGCTACTTCAAAACCTAATCGAGGATGCTATTGTGACGAGACGTGAACAGCTACAAGGACATTTAATTGGAAAACTTAGAGAATAGCCCAAAACACTTTCTGTAGCATAACATCTCAACACAGCGTGGAGATTTAATGTTGAAGCTTTTTCCACTGAGTCATGATGAGGATTTGTTCAGGGTTATATTGAAAATACAAACAAGGTCTGTATATTTCACGTTACTACAATCTTATGTTACTCAATTGTTGTTACTTGCTAGACATCAATAAAAACAATTCAGAAAAATAAAGTATGAGGTCGCTAACGTCACTTCCGGACAAAATTACGACCCTGAGTTACAGTTTCTTAACTTCCTCTCCGAAAATAAGGACAGTAAAAGAAACTGATTCAGAAATCACAGTTTCTCGTTCACCTGCAGACCGACCGGACATCCATCCCATATTTATTCGGAGCTCGGTTAAAACAAAGCTCTCTCTGCCGTCTGACGCTCTATTTGACACCATTTTCATAATTTTGGAGTAATTGTACAGTTTTTGACGAACAAAAATATAGTTTTCTGGCATCACTTTAACATTTTACGGGAAATATGTCTAATTAATTATAGTATTTCATCTACCTGTGTTACACATATTTTTAATTACTTTGCACGTTAAATTCGGAGAGGAAATGTATGAAATGTTAAGAGATTGTAATATCTCCAATTCCTTTTATTCAAACAAATTGGCCATGGTGGAAAGGTTTAAAGAAAATGTGACAACATAAACTTTATATCTAATTTAACAGACACTTTTATCCAAAGAGACTTACAACAAGTGCAAACTGAATTACTTCATGAGTGAATTAATGATCATGTGTATAAAGCATGTGTCTTACAGTGAAGACTTGAAACCATGAGATCTGTGTGAAGACTTCCTCACATGAAACCAACTCAATTTCGTTTTCACATCGTGTTCTCCACATGGTTTTCCATCTTTTCAGCTTGACTGGACTTTGACTTCTGTCCAGCTGTGAATCGCCACTGAACAACTTCTAATACTCACAAAGATTTAGGATTTAATGGGGAAACTTGCTCAAAATGTGGTTTAAATTTGGATGACAACAATTTCATTCAGAGTCAGTCTCGGGACACAGTGGGTAATTCTTTAGGTCTGAGATAAATCCATTCTTATTTTTGTGAAATGGTTTAACTTGTTTTAAATAAGACAATAATCTACTGTCCTATTTCTATATTTACCTTGAGCCTGTCTCACTGCCTGTCTGTCTCTCTGCTTAATGGTCTGTGTGTCTGCCTGAATGCAGGCTTTTACACAGAGCATCACCTCCAGGCAACCAGTGTGAACCCAGAGCACACACAAACACACACACAAACACACACACATATACACACACACACACACACACACACACACACACACACACACACACACACACACACACACACATCTATTTGTATACCTCTGACTTGAAGTTTTTTGAATCTCAAGGAATAAAAAGGAATGTTTTATTGTCTCTTGTTTCAGCACCATCAAATCGGTAAAAACGTTTTGCTTTCTAACTTTAAACCAAAACCAGCCATAGAAACGAAGTAAATGCACTTCAAACCTATTCAAATATTTTAGTTTTTAAGATCATCACAGCTCTTTATCACATCTTCATTAACAAAACCACACTGGAGTCCCTCGAACAGAGATTTAGAAAAGTGAACTCCAGACTTGAATCTAGACATTTAGAGACTGTGTGAATCAAAGTAATAAATCTGCCAATCATTTTATCAAATAATGACCTAAAAACTGAGAAACTCTTGATCAAAACTTCCCAACCCTTAAGGAAACAAAAATCTAAATATATTAAGTTCGTATCATAATTTAAGACAATGAAAAGCATCACATTTTACCCTTGATTCTGACTAATGAGGTATGCTGTTTCAGTTTCTGTATTATAAGCGGAAATAATCGTTAACTTTAGCCCTAAATGTCATCAAAAGTTGTTCAAATCAAATGAAGTGCTGCTTAATACCCTGCAAAGCATTTCCACTGAGGAGCATCCATTCCTGCAGGCTGCACACATTCATACAGTATATAACGTTAAAACATCTCATCCTGCATACTCGTATGAAATTAACATGCAGTTAAAGTCTAATAATTCATGCAACAAGTCTGTTTCTTTCTGACAGATTCGCCCCGGTTCTCCCAGGCGGATTCCTCTCTGCTGGACCCGGCTTCTCTCTCCCCTGCCCCGGATCCGCTCTCTCACCTGGGGTCGCTTCTGGCCGGAGGATGGGACAGGTAAGACCGGGGAAACAAGCTCCAAGAAGTCCCGAAACACACGCACAATTTCCCGGGTTAACAGAGGTACTGAATCCCAAACGGTGATTGTTCTTCGTGCTTCTCCTCCGTGTTGCTCACTGCGGGAATGAGGAGGTGCAGGGATGGTGTGGAGGTATTAAAACTGCAGGAGGACAAGTATTTGTGGAGGAGGAGGAGACCACACCCCCATGCACTTTAAATTCCGAGCAACGGGGAGCGAGCAGAGGTGGAAGAAATGCTCAGATCCTTCACTATACAGTAGGAAAAAAAAGTATTCTGCTACAAGTTAAAATCCTGCATTCAAAATCTTACTAAGGCAAAAAAAAGTTTTGACATCAAGACCAGGCTTAAAACCCGAGGGCACCGAGCCTTCGCAGCAGCTGGCCCTAGGCTCTGGAACACTCTGCCCCTCCATGTGAGGTCGGCCCAGACCCTAGGGGTTTTTAAATCCACTCTAAAAACACACTTCTTCTCTCTGGCTTTCTAGTTAGAGCGGAGCACGACTCCTGACTTTTCCGTGTGTTTTATTTTTATTTTGTTTTTAAGATATATCTGTTGTAATTTATTGTCGTTTATTGTGATTGTAGTAATGTGTTTTTATTACATGTACAGCACTTTGGCTCGACCAAAAATCGCTTTTAAATGTGCTATATAAATAAAACCTGATTTGATTTGATTTAATTTGAACATGTACCTAAAGTACTAAAGGAAAAGTATTTGGTTCATTTAAAAATGATATATTAAATGACTGGATTATGATTATGGATGCTTTAATGTGTTCATCACAGCTGGTACATGTGGCGCTACTCTTAATAACTGTATATAGGCTACTGCTGCGGGATATCTGTCGGTATATAATATGAATATGTTAAGTATAACTGTCAGATAAGTAAAAAGTGTATCACTTACTTGCTAAATGTAGTGGAGATAAACAAAAAATACTCAGATAAAGTACAAGTACCTCAAAATAGAACTTAAAGAGGCCCTATACTGCTTTTTTTGGGTTCTCCCTTCCCTGTAGTGTGTTATATAGGTTTTAGTGCATGAAAATGGTCTGCAAAAGCTAAAATCCTTGCCTGAAACTCCCCCATTGTACTCATAGTGACATCAGTATGTTACACTTGCGCTCCTATTGGCTAGCGCTCAAACACATTGTACGTGATAGGCTAAGGGGCGGGACATCTCTGAGCTGTTGACCAATCACAACAGAGCCGGCCGGCTAACCAATCAGAGCAGAAACATCTTTATTTCTGAAGTAAATGGTAACTAAGGCTGTAGAAATAAAAGTAAAATGTACAATATTTCCCGTTTTAATTGGAGCAGAATAAAAGTATGAAGTGGCATTAAAATAAAATACTCAAGTACAAGTACCCTTTATTTGCACTTGAGTACAATATTTGAGTAAATGTATTTCCTTTTGAAATGTTTTCACAATCAGCTGATACTGATGGATGGGACTTTATTCATAATAAGTATTTTTACTTTTGCTACTGAAGTACATTTTGACTCCAGTACTTGTTGTACTTTTACTTGAGTAAGATTTTAAGTGCAGTACTTTTACTTGTTACACAATTTTTACAATTCACTACTGCTACTTCTACTTGAAAGCCGAGTACTTCTTGTACTTCTGAACATAACTCAATAAACAGCAGCCTCTTGCAGGAGGGAATGAGAAAAACACATAAAATCCACGCAGAGGAAACTTATTACCAGAGGACATCCGTCATGGTACACACAGTTTGAATATCAAAATGATATTTCAAGTGCCTTTTTTAATTGTTCAGCAGATTCACCTGATATGACGTCTAAAACACAGACGGTCACCTTTTGTTTTAGTCTGGTTAGATAATCAGAATCAAGTACGAGGAATTTGACTTGGTGTTGTGGTGCATACATACAAATAAATAAAAAACACAGATAGAAAACTATTTGAAGAAAACTATAATAACATTACAAAATATAGCAGTTATTACATTGAATATGATTGAAATAGTAGAAATAGAATTGGAATAAAATATGTGCAGTAATGAGAAACAAAATAATTGTAGGATTTGAAGGAGGCAGGTCAAATCAGAAGTATACTTCAGGTGAAATGAGTGGTATAGGAATCAAGAGTAGTTGTTTATTGGGACCTTTGACTTAACTTTAAGGTATATTATATAGAAGTTCTGCTTCAACATGTCTTAAGATGACTCGATCTTTGTTATATATTTTGTAGAGTTGTGTAGTTTCATTAAAAGTTGTAAAATGTTCCTGTAATGGTGTCGTTCACTTTGAGCTTGTCATAAACTGACTTTTTATCCAGTTTTAAACCCCATTTGTATCATATACACTTCATACATCTTGCTGTGTTTTACCTCTATGTGTTAACCAGAAAACAATGAAGACATCAATCTGCTTAATTCACTGGTTTTACAGCTTGAACATTGAATGAATCCTTACCAGACTACAACTCCCATGATCCACCATGACATCGTTTTGTTATTGTTTTGAGTAAGACGATTACATTTAGGGTTGAAAGAAAATGTCCAATAAGATGTCCCCAAAAGTACATCTTGGTTTATTCTTCTTTGTTCTAAATCAGTGGATTTTAACGTATTGGGGTCAGGAGATCATTTATCGGGGTGGCCAGATAGAGAGATAGAAATAACTAAGTAAAGTTCAACGACCTCCATTTTGTAATATTTTATAATTGTGCTTAATTACATCCCACTCCTGCTTTTAAGTGCAGGACTTTTACTTTTGGGGAGTATTTTTCTAGGAGTTATAAGTACTTTCACTGCAGTAAAGGATCTGTATACTTCTTCCACTGCTGTGTTTTTGACACTACATTTAATTTAGAAGACCCTTTATCCAAATTAACTTAGAATAAGTTCAATCAACCACCAGGAAATATAGTCAGAACAGCAGAACATACGCTTCAAAAAAGCCAAACATGTTGAAGTGCTGGTCCCTAAATTAACACCTGTTGAGCCACGCTCTCTAACTAAACTAAGATGATTGTAGTCATTTCAACTCTCAACCTCCGGCCCTGAAGATTTACTTTTTTGGAGGTGAAAGTGCATTTTTTCTCCCCTTCATCCCTCCTTCCTTCACCCTTTCCTCCCTTTTTCTTTCTTTCTGTCCATTCTGTGTTCCCGGTGTGAAATGCCAGAAGCTCTAAACTCCCGACACACTGACCTTTGAAGAGGACAAGGTCTAATTTAGACTTCTGCTGCCACTCTGGTGACTGAACACACACACACACACACACACACACACACACACACACACACACACACACACACACACAGCTGAGTGTGACCCCTGACCCCTGACCTGTGGAGGTGTTCAGGGTCACTGGGATCCCCTCATGTACGAACAAAACATTCAGTATTCGTCCGCAGACTTTCTTCCTTACAAGGAGCCGTCGCTCTGCTCTGAATACGTGAACCTCTGTGAGAGTTAACAACCAGGAAACAAAAACACTACGGCTGTTAATCAATTTAAATATTGCAACGTGATTTATTGGCACAAGTTTCCAGAGTTAAAAGCAAATTAGTGCTGTCAATCGGTTAAAAAGTGTTCAAAATCCCAAGTTTAAAGTACCAGTACTTACCTTTAGGCGGGATAACACATAAGCACATGTGGTGATGAAGTGAAGCAATGCATGACAACCTGGTAAGAGAAATTTGAGTTTTTTTTTTATATGAAATATAACATGATTTCTGGACTCTTAAAGCGTTTACAAAGTCGCTGTCAGAGAGAGCCGCTGTGAGGACACTCTGTATAATATTTGGACATAAACTAAATACTAAAATTCTTAAATATGTCTCTTGCTCTTCCATTTGTAATTTACAGTAGATATGCTGTTATTGTATTTCTCTCTTTTTCTCGTCTCTTTTAGATCATTTTATTTTGTATTCTTTGTAATATATTTTGAATATTTGCTTTTATTTTTTGACATGCACCAGTACACCAAAGCAAATGTATGTGAAAACCTACTCAACCCAAGTTCTAAATAAGATACTGTAACATTTCTCTATCACTTAATAATCCACAAGGATTCCTGGTACAGTAAACATTTATTCTGCTGTAAAATAATGCAAATATGTCCAGTTTGATTGTATTTTCTGCATACATGCCATTGTCTGTGTGTGTATTTCACTTCCTTTGTGTCTCTGGTGTCTCTGAGTCAGATTACCAGAACACTTTCAAGATATAAAAATAACCCTCTTATTTTTCAATGTGTCACTAATGCAGTGTTACCATCGGAAACTATGCTTGGCATGTCTTTATTTATGTCACTGCTACGAAGTCCATTATGGAAATAGCTTGAGTGTCTGGAGATGTTTAGTCTGAGGGGTTTTATAGCCTTGTGAAGAAGGAGAACCACTTTACCCACTTTCACTTGTCTGTGACGCAGATACAGCTGAGAAGTAGTCAGTTTAATTTGATGCCATACATCAAATATTCTCTTTTAACACTCTTGTGGTTATCACACTTGTTTTTTCCATCACGTTATTTGATTTAGAAACTGCAGTGTGGTAAAGGTGTAAATCACACATTTGTTGGTTCAGTTTAAAGATTGGGTTCATTGACTGGAGTTTGTATCTTTATTTTCTATATTCAAGTTTAGTGAGCACATTACACTTCACATTCACTTGAGGTATCTAATCTAATATAATGTTATTTACAGTATTTAACAATATAGATGTTTCTTTTACCTGCATTCTTCCTAATGGCCAGCAGGGGGCTACTTTACCGGTTGCAAAAATGGCATAGAAGTCCATGAGAAAATGTCCTTACTTATGCTTGATTTATCACCTCAGTAATCCTTTTTCTGTTAAGTTTATGGTCTCAATCTGTAGTGTAAGTCTTATGTAACACAGCATGATGATCATATTGTAAATAATAGTCAGTTATTTTGTTAAATAGACGTTAAGGCAGCCTATGCTTTACCTTCTGAGCTCGGAAGTACTGTAAGACATCTTCATTCATGCAATACGAAGATGAATGATTACGTTTGTGTGCGGTTTCAGGTTTACTTTCAACAGTTACAGGAGTGGATGTTTGTTTTTGTGCAGTACCTGAGTTGGCCACTAGGATCAGGCACATGGAAAATAAAACAATACTTCCTGGTTGTTTGTGACTGACATCTTTCTTGTCCAATCAGGACAGCGGATCAGAGTTATCAGAGCTGTCAGTTACCGGGTCGAGAAGCTCACGCTGACCAGAGCGTCACCATCCTGCATGCCAAGGTCGCCCAGAAGTCCTACGGCAACGAGAAGAGGTTTGACCTTCTGTGTTTCTAACTCCAACCCTAAACATGCAACCATTTAAAATGTATTTATAACTCAGGGTTACTACCAGTCTTTACAAGAGGTAGGAGGTAGGCAGTGATAGGAGAAGTGTTTTGATTTCTCACTGAAATAAAAGTATTAACACAAATGATCCACTAATTGTAAAGTCTTGCAATCAAACCCTTACCTCAAGGTATCTAAATGATGCTTGTTTTCTACTTCAGGTATAGTCTTCTATTAGATTATGTTTACATGCTTTTATGTTCTCACACAGTTTGTTTTAATGTGTTTACCCTCCATCTGAAACCCGCCATTGTCTCTTTAAGCTGGCTAACCCGAAAAAGCACATTTTGCTTTGATTGGCTTGAAGGAGAATTGAAAATGATCACAGATTATTAAAGATTATTTCGCATAGTAGTCACCAAAGTATATATTGGATACATATATCTTCCGAACATTGACACATTTTTTACGGACAAAAACGAACTTCTTCAATACCAATCGGTCTGATTTGTTAACCAAATAAGTTGAACGGTATCAAAACGTTAAACTATTGTTCGCCAACACCTAGCTAACTTACTTTCGTAATGTTTAATTGGTTGTAAGCTACAGTACGTAAATATGTAATGTCAGTTCCTCGACCTAGCAGACAGGAAGTGGATACCATTTCCTACCATTTGTGCGCTTGTATCTTTAATCATAGAGCAACAGAATCAGAAATACTTTTCAATGTTGGTAGTTCTTCGGGGCTGGAGATACTCAAATGAGGGGGTTTTATTCTAATCAACCTGCATTTTACGTATAATTGTTGGCCACATCTGAACATCTTACTGAATCCCATATTTAGGATCTGGGCAGCATGATATGTCCTTTAAGTCTTTCCAACATCTCCAACACCATACAGCTGATGTTCTTCATTAAAGTCTGCACTGTTTCTCGCCCCACAGGTTCTTCTGTCCTCCTCCCTGTGTTTACATCAGCGGTCCGGGATGGAGAGTCATGCAGAACCATCTGAAAGGTGAAGGCACACACATATTAATTGGAGACGTAAAAACGTTGAAAGGAGGAAGAGGAACTTAGAGCATTTCAAACCCAGATTGAACGATACTTCTCTTTGAAGCAGGATTCGAGATCGCACATATGGCATTGTTTTTTCTGCATACATGCCATTGTCTGTGTGTATTTCACTTACTTTGGTGTCACTGAGTCAGAGTACCAGAACACTTTCAAGATATAAAAATAACCACAGATGGCAAAAGTACACACATCCTTTACTCAAGTAGAAGTACAGATACTCGTGTTTAAAAATACTCTGGTAAAAGTAGAAGTACTGACTAAACTTCTTTACTCAAGTAAAAGTAAAGAGGGCTTTGAAATGTACTTCAGTAAAAAGTACCCATAACTAGCAGCTGTTTTAAAGAGTACCTGACCTCCCTTTATATTAATAGAACAATAATGTCATTGTTAGCTAATGAATGTTTCCATGCTGAACAACGGCAACATGACAACGTTTTCATTGGTCCCTCTTCTTTAGAGAAGACCAGGAAATGATGGATACACGGATCGTGTTCAAATCAATAGGCACGCAATGACTCTAAATAATAATGATCACGCCACCAAACACACATTCAAACTAAAGGAACCAGCCTGTTTGGGAAATGAGAGAAGTAGAAAGTACAGGTATTTGTGTTCAACATGTAAGAAGTAGAAAGTACAGGTATTTGTGTTCAACATGTAAGAAGTAGAAAGTACAGGTATTTGTGTTCAACATGTAAGAAGTAGAAAGTTCAGGTATTTTTGTTCAAGAAGTACAAGTGAAAAGTCTTCAGAAAAATAAGTAGTGGAGTAAAGTACTGATACCAGAAAAATGTACTTAAGTACAGTAACGAAGTATTTGTACTCCACTACTTCCCACCTCTGAAAATAACCCTCTTATTTTTCAATGTGTCACTAATGCAGTTGAAGGGAGGAAGAGGAAGGTAGAGCATTTCAAACCCAGATTGAACGATACATCTCTTTGAATCAGGGTTCGAGAAGCTCTACGTTCCTCTTCCTCCCTTCGTCCTTCTGTTCCTTCATCTTCATCCTGCCATTGTTGCTTTTTATCCTAATTTATCATCGTGTCTCTCCAGCGGCAGGTTATGGAGACGCCGTGTATCGAGTGTGTGGCTTTTTGTGTCTCGACAACACCAGCCAGTCTCAGGCCGACGCTTACAAACTGGTGTTCAACGAGCAGCCCAACTCCAGGGTGAGAGCTGTGTGTGTGTGTGTGTGTGTGTGTGTGTGTGTGTGTGTGTGTGTGTGTATGTGTGTGTGTGTGTGTGTGTGTGTGTGTGTGTGTGTGTGTGTGTGTGTGTGTGTGTGTGTGTGTGTGTGTGTGTGTGTGTGTGTGTGTGTGTTTTATCTGATGTATTGCCATGCACATACCTGTCCTCTGTGTTTGACTGTTTCAAACACAGTCTCCTCCTGTCTCTCAAATTCCTTCGATGACAGAGGGCCCAATTTACTGGAAATTCCAACTGGCCTTTGTCCCGGTTAAACAAGCCACCAAATTCCTCTCCAAACAACGAGATCTGTTGTATCTGTGTCCCTGTATTGGTCTTTGGCGGTGGATGAAACCAGATTCATAACGATAGCAAATATGTAAATGGTCTATAAAGGCTAAAATCCCAAAGTTGCCTCCAAAGGGAGTTTCTCTCCCACGCACTTTGTTTACTTCTTGAACATAGTGACATTTGGCTAGCGCTCCAACACCTTGTACATGATAGGCTAAGGGGCGGGACATCTCTAAGCCGTTGACCAATCACAACAGAGCAGGCCAGCTAACCAATCAGAGCAGACTGGGCTCTGGTTTCAGACAGAGGGTGAAAAGAGGTGCTGCAGCACAGGCAGTATGAGAAAAATAAAGAGCTTTGTGAACATTCGAGCCTGGAGACAAGTCACAGGAGAACCTGAACATGAGCATAACATAAACCCCTTTAATAAAGGTTACGCTGTGAATCATGTTAATAGAGGCTCTTAAATCAGAGCAACAGCTGATAGGTGGGCTCTGGATGATAAACGGCTGCTGACCTCAGATCTGTTGTGTCTGAATTTACCCAGACAGACCTTCGCCTCTTTATTACTCTCACTGTGGACTCGACAAACAGTCGTGTCTGACAGGAAAACGACGCTGCTGTAAACACCGTGTGTGTTCACTGGCCTCCTCATTCACTCAAGCAGAAAACAAGACACACACATTGCTGTGAAGAGAAGAGCTGCAGCAAATAGTCGATCCACAGGAAAGAAAACGCCACATTTTCTTGATAATTGCTTTATCGATGATTTCATTCTCGTGCAAAAACTTGAGATAATGTCGTTTTCTACGTGTCAAATATGTATATATCAGCTTTTTTCTGTATTTTATCATATTAAAGTTAACACATTTGGATTTTTGACTGACAAAAGACCTTTGAAGACATCACCTACGACTTTGCAAAACTGAGATGGATATTTTAGAATATTTCAGTATTTTCTGACATATATATTCAATGGTTACTGGTTATATGTAAGCTTTATAAACCTTTAAGGATTATGAATGTCATATTTATAATATTGTGCATTGCTTTTATTTATTATAACATGTCATTTATATGTAAAGCACATTGTGTTACGTGTTATAATATGTGAACTGTGCTATGTTGAAATTATTTTTGAACAAATACAGAAAAATGTCCATCCCAGTTTCTTAATTCCAAGGTGATGTCTTTGTCTCCACTCTGTTTAAATAAAGTTTCAGTGTGTCGTTTTCTCGCACTCCTTCTGTGTTTCAGATGTTCGCCTCGGCCAAGTCCCTGTTCATCTCCGACCAGGACAAGAGGAAACACTTCTGCCTGCTGCTGAGGCTCTTCCTGGGAAACAGACAGGAAGTGGGATCGTTTCAGAGCCGGATGATCAAAGTTATCTCCAAACCGTCGCAGAAGAGACAGTCCATGAAAAACGCTGACCGTGAGTTTAATCACCAACGCACCAAGCATAATGTTACCATTATATTTTATAAATGTCATTTATATGGCATAATCAAACATCCATGGTACACTAAGCCTCGAACACAAACTACCTACTATCAGCAAAGACTAAGTGAGGATATTTAAAATGTTGGCCGGTCCCCCGATTGTTTGGATCAGTTAATTTGATACAGACATGCATTACAATTGTAACATACAATAAAATGTTGGCAAGAAAATCTGCGACAAATGTCCATAGACAGTTTTTTTATAAAAAAAAAATGTTAGGATATAAAAGAAAGAGCATTGAGTCACATACACGGAAAAATACACAAAAAATAAGTTTAAAAATAACGAAAGTACACACACACTTTGGGATACACCTTCAACCGCCTGTTTGAATATGTGTCAGTTTGAATGTGTGTGTGTGTGTGTGTGTGTGTGTGTGTGTGTGTGTGTGTGTGTGTGTGTGTGTGTGTGTGTGTGTGTGTGTGTGTGTGTGTGTGTGTGTGTGTGTGTGTGTGTGTGTGTGTGTGTGTCTAACCAGATGCAAATGATGCTCCGATGGTCATCCAATAAAATGCACATTCCTGCAGGCAGAAAACCAATGTAACTCTGAGACCCTGTGTGGTGTGTGCCTGTGAGTCAGTCCTTACAGTATCCCTCTGTTTCTGTGTGTGTGTGTGTGTGTGTGTGTGTATGTGCGTGTGTGTGTGTGTGTGTGTGTGTGTGTGTGTGTGTGTGTGTGTGTGTGTTTCCAGTGTGTATCTCGTCGTGCTCCAGAGTGGCTTTGTTTAACCGCCTGCGCTCTCAGACGGTCAGCACGCGTTACCTCTCCGTGGACAGAGGAGCTTTCATCGCCAGCGCCAGACAGTGGACCGCCTTCACCATCACGCTGGGTACGAGTGTGTGTGTGTGTGTATTTATATGTTAGTCACACATTCACTTATTCCATACTGTAAAGGTCATATTGTGGTCAGTCTATGCATGAATTGACTGTTTGACATCTGACGATCAAAAGGTTTTTTTATAATCTAGAATTTTCCTTAAAGGGGCTCTATTAAGCTTTTGGGGTTTTCCTTTTCCTGTAGTGTGTTATATAGCAAAGTGACATACTCGTACTTCTATTGGCTAGCGCTCCAACAGCCAATCAGAGCAGACTGGGCTCTGGTTTCAGACAGAGGGTGAAAAGAGGTGCTGCAGCACAGGCAGTATGAGAAAAATAAAGAGCTTTTTGAACATTAAAGCATGGAGACATGTAGAGACACTACATACTGATATACACCTGAACATCAGCAGGAGAGGACTCTTTAAAGTAGAGACACTACATACTGATATACACCTGAACATCAGCAGGAGAGGACTCTTTAAAGTAGAGACACTACATACTGATATACACCTGAACATCAGCAGGAGAGGACTCTTTAAAGTAGAGACACTACATACTGATATACACCTGAACATCAGCAGGAGAGGACTCTTTAAAGTAGAGACACTACATACTGATATACACCTGAACATCAGCAGGAGAGAACTCTTTAAAGTAGAGACACTACATACTGATATACACCTGAACATCAGCAGGAGAGGACTCTTTAAAGTAGAGACACTACATACTGATATACACCTGAACATCATCAGGAGAGGACTCTTTAAAGTAGAGACACTACATACTGATATACACCTGACCATCAGCAGGAGAGGACTCTTTAAAGTAGAGACACTACATACTGATATACACCTGAACATCAGGAGAGGACTCTTTAAAGTAGAGACACTACATACTGATATACACCTGAACATCAGCAGGAGAGGACTCTTTAAAGTAGAGACACTACATACTGATATACACCTGAACATCAGCAGGAGAGGACTCTTTAAAGTAGAGACACTACATACTGATATACCCCTGGACATCAGCAGGAGAGGACTCTTTAAAGTAGAGACACTACATACTGATATACACCTGAACATCAGCAGGAGAGGACTCTTTAAAGTAGAGACACTACATACTGATATACACCTGAACATCAGCAGGAGAGGACTCTTTAAAGTAGAGACACTACATACTGATATACACCTGAACATCAGCAGGAGAGGACTCTTTAAAGTAGAGACACTACATACTGATATACCCCTGGACATCAGCAGGAGAGGACTCTTTAAAGTAGAGACACTACATACTGATATACACCTGAACATCAGCAGGAGAGGACTCTTTAAAGTAGAGACACTACATACTGATATACACCTGAACATCAGCAGGAGAGGACTCTTTAAAGTAGAGACACTACATACTGATATACACCTGGACATCAGCAGGAGAGGACTCTTTAAAGTAGAGACACTACATACTGCTATACACCTGAACATCAGCAGGAGAGGACTCTTTAAAGTAGAGACACTACATACTGATATACACCTGAACATCAGGAGAGGACTCTTTAAAGTAGAGACACTACATACTAATGTTAGCAGAATAGGCCCCTTTAAGATTCTTAAAGAGGAGCGTGACTCAAGATTTTATTGTTTGCTCTTTACACACTATCACACATATCCGTTTTGGCATATTAATATAAATACAGGCCAGTATTTCAACAATATACATGTCCGTAGAAATGCTGAAATGTCGTCTCTATGGGTTGGCTTGTATCAAAAGTTCAACTTCAGTCTTGCAGCTTCTCTCTCACCTTGACATAATAGCCAAGACTCTGCTCCCTATGTTCAATAATTATTTGTATACTGAACGTTAATAATAATAATAATAATGCAATACATTTTTTATTAGAGCGTAGTGTATACCTAAACTCACCTCTTGCCCCAATGCATGATGGGTAGACTGAAGCTCCTCCCAACCCCAATATGATAAGAGAAGCTGCCAAGAAAAATAAATAGATCAGTGGAGGAGTACAAGACCATTTCAGACATGTTTGAACATTAACTCTTAATTTATCTGACATCTGTACATCTGGAGTTCTTAGTGTTTTAAAATACACTTAGACAGGGATGAACAGTGGCATCAATGACAGTACCTTGCAGTCAGCAGTGAGCATAAATACAGTCAGTGTGTGTGAGCAGTGTCTCCTCACACACCTCTGGAAAGATCTGTGAGGTTATTTATTTAACACACAGACCTCCCACCACCTAAACCCAAACCTCCGTCATTCATCCAGCACACACACACACACACACACACACACACACACACACACACACACACACACACACACACACACACACACACACACACACACACACACACACACACACACACACACACACACACACACACACACACGAAGTTGGTAGAAAAGTGTTCCAAGATAGAAACACATTTAAGTTTTCTGTGAGAAAAGATGCTATAACAGTGTGTGTTTAAATGTCCCTAAATGTGTGTGTGTGTGTGTGTGTGTGTGTGTGTGTGTGTGTGTGTGTGTGTGTGTGTGTGTGTGTGTCCAGTGGAGGACCAGCAGGCTGACCATGGTGACTTCGTGCTGAGCGAGGGCTTCATCTGTTACGGCTGTGTGGTGCAGTTAGTGTGCAGTGAGTCAGGAGTCGCTCTGCCACCCATGGTAACACACACACACACACACACACACACACACACACACACACACACACACACACACACACACACACACACACACACACACACACACTGTCCGATACCTGAAGCTTTAGTAGCGTCTGCAAATAGAAAGCAGTAGCATCTGACGATCAAAACTGGTTTTAAATGGTGGGAAATTAACATTTGTTATGAAGTAAACAAGGTATTTAATTTAGGTATATCTATGGGATTATCTGAGATTAAGGTGTGTGTAAAGAGAACTGTCAACTCTCTCTATTTTATGAAGAATATCATCAACACATTTAGCTATGAAGATGGGTTGATTCGTTAAAAGTCAACAATATTTCATCTCCTCTTTTACATGAACAAACATTTAGTCAAAAGAGAGATTTTGTTCGAAGATTAGTTTTTCATCATCACGTTGATTACCTCACTGATTTCAGTCTCTTCTGAGATATGAAAACAAACGCTTGTAGATAACCATATTTATTAAGAGTTTTCATTAACAAATATTTAAAAAAGTTAAAATAGCAGTAGTGGCATCAAAAACCTTCCTTTATGTGCTGTATAAGAGTGAATAAACCCCGTCTGATGACCCCCCTCTCTCAGGCTGTATCTCTTACAGATGTGCAGCTGCTACCCAACCTGCTAATCCCCAAAACTGCTGTTATTGTTGAGCCCGACCTCGTCTTTAAGTTAAACTTAGACAAACGCTGCTGAGCAGACTCTTTCTGCTCCTGCTGTCAAAACACGCTCAGTGTCTGATGAAGGTAAACCTATACACGCCTCTCCGTGTTTTTGCAGCGGAGGCCTTTTTCTGCTCCGTTTGTTTGAGGAGTTCTTCCAGTGGTCGGTGTTCAGAGGCTGCAGAAAGCTGAGTGAAACCCCAATATTGAGCTGGATCAGCAGCTTGGGAAAGACTTTAATGAGCTTTTTATATTCTGTGTGTAGCAAAGTAAAGATCTCAAGGTCCGGAGATACCAGAAGCTATTCTTTGTGCAGACCACCTGGGTTTATATAGATGACACAGCTTTTTTAAATCACCCAACCATTTGCTAGCGGTCTCAGCTAAATGTTGAGATCAGCACGATATGAGGAACATATGTGGTATCAGTTACTTTGTTGAATTTGTCGAGTGTAAGAAAGTATATTTGTCAGTTACGCTGGAATATCAAAATAAGTCAATCTTCTTAGCAAAAGTTGACAGATTGCCCGATTAGCGTTACCAGATTCTCTATCACCATTGGGTCAATCTAAAATACAGTATTGCCCCACAGGTGTTTTTACTTTGACTTTGAGAATAATCTCCCCTGTCTGATTTGCCAGCAATTATTTAGCGTTTTGTACATGATTATGAAAGTGGTGACATCAGGATTACTCTGAAAATATTCATGAGATTTCTGATGGAGAGGGTTTTTAGAATGTGTTCTTGTTTGTGTCTCCAGGTGATCCGTAAGGTGAACAAACAGCACGCCTTCTTGGACGTGGACGAGCCGGTGTCTCAGCTCCATAAATGTGCCTTTCAGTTCAGACACGATCCCAACGCTTACATGTGTTTATCCAACGACGCCATCATACAGCACCAGGTCAGACTCCCTCTATCTGCCTTTTCCCCCTCCTCAAACTTCATTTTTCCTTCTCGTCCTTCCTTTCCTCCTTCTCAAACTTCCTTTCCTCCTTCTCAAACTTCCTTTCCTCCTTCTCAAACTTCCTTTTCTCCTTCTCAACCTTCCTTACCTTCCTTCCCCCCCTTCTCTCCTCCATCCTCTCCTCATCTAACCACCCCTTCTCTCCTCCTTCTCTCCTCCTCCTCTCCTCTCCTCTAACCCCCCCTCTCTCTCCAGGCCTCCCCCAGCCTGACGGACCCCCTCAGAGTGGGTCTAAACGATGGTGCCTGTTGGACCATCATTGGTGTGGAGGTGGTGGAGTTCACCTTTAATCAGGGATCCTCCTGCATCCTGACTCCTGTCACTCCGTTTCCTGTCATCTGCGGGTTAGAGGTGAGTTATGGAGGATCGGTTGTGTTGGATTAGGTTTTTATAGATTTCAGTACCAAAAATCAACCCCTAAAAACTGCAACTAATCCAGAACGAGTCCTGGCCAAAACAAAAAGAGTAGATCACATCACCCCAGTTCTCAGATCTCTGCACTCAGTGGCTCACAGAATCGATTTTTAAATGGTATTGCTAACTTAAAAAGCACTAAATGGTTTGGGACCCCAATATATGTCCGACATGCTTCTCTGTTACGAGCCAATCAGAGCTCTGAGATCATCGGGGACTTAGTAATTGCACCCTGGCTCAGAACCAAACACTGCTTTTAATTTGAATGCACCCCAAAAATGGAACAAACTTCGTCTTCACCAACGCGGAGTTCTTTTAAATCGAGGCTAAAAACACTACTTTTTTTAGCTGCCTACCCAGAAGTCTTTTAACTTGTTTTAGCACCTACCGTATTTACAATGTTGTTTGTAAACTATTCTGTATCTCTTTTATGCATGGTTTTTATGAATCTGTTATTCCATCATGTATCTATTGTGTTCCTTTCTGTTGTCTTCTTATTAAGTGTTAATGATGTGAAGCACTTTGAATTGCCTCTGTGTCTGAAAATGTGCTTTATAAATAAGCGTACCTTACCTTATACCTTACCTTACCCTAAAGACTATAAGAAAATAAAACAAACCTGTGTGTGTGTTACTGCAGGTGAATGGCGGGGGACATGTTGCCATGCTGGAAATCTACGGAGAAAACTTCAGCTCTCATCTCAAAGTCTGGTTCGGAAACAGCGAGGCTGAGACCATGTTCAAGTGAGTCAACAGGAAACTGAATGTGAAAAATGTTGAAGTCAAAAATGTTGAAGTCAAAAGACGTTCGAAAATACCCAGAAAACAAAAGACGCAGAGAGATCTGCGAGGAGTAGAGAGAAGGGATGAAGAGGAAAACCATATTAATTTACTATAATCATAATTTAGCATTTTGAGTACTGTTGGGTTCAGAATTCCAGAAAAGACAGACAACTTCTAAGTTTAACTATTTATTGTAAAGAGAGCAAAAGATATATATTACTTGGCCAAGGACTCGTCACGTCTTTGGAAATCACAGGCAGCAAAGCTGTAATCTGTAACCACCAAATCCGTCAAGAGCCTCGAACCTCGTGCGACAATACATTGTATTACACAGGGCGTTGCCCGTACATTTATGATTGGTCAAGACTAGATGAAGAGATACAGCGGTTTAGACTTGGTTCTCTTTGGTTGGTGCACAGACTCAGATAGAGTCTCTTGGCAACACAATCCTCCAATCAGCATTCGGCTGGCCTGTGGAAGTCCCTCCCTACTCTGGCACCATCATACTAATTTGTTTTCTCTAACGTTTCTTCAGATATAGTGGGAAACCATAATGTTGCTTCCTAGCTTTGCGTGGGAGCGCGGCTCCCATACAGAGTCAAGGCCGGTGCGATGTGCTGTTCTGACTACCTCTTTGTGTTCTCTCAGTCTCTGCACTCCACCTTGCTACTTTCAATATTGCAAGCTAAACACTTTCTCATGTGACTTTTCCCTTCGTTCCTATCCTCCCCATCAAAACTTGGGGGGGGGGGGGGGGGTGATTGAGTCTATTTATTCCAAAGTCACAGCCACATACATGAGCACAATAAGCTTATAATGTAATAATAAGAATCAGTCTTTCTAATGTTATATAAAAATAGCCTCCACAGTACACCTTTAACCTTTTCAAAAAAATATATATATATATGTTTTGTTTGTTGTTTATATTGTTGATATTTTGATATTGATTTGACAGGCAATATACGTGGACATTATTACATTTAAATAAGGTGCAAGCGAAGAAGTATATTTATGATTGTTAGAATTTTGACAATATAACACAACAGTCTAATAGAGGCGTAAAACTAACCATAAACTAGACAGAACCTTCCTAAACAACCGATACAAACAGTCAAGGAAACAAGAATTAAGAACAATGACTAAAAACGACTATTAAAAACAGTTTTGCCTTAGAAATAAAACTTTGTAGGTCTTCGTTTCTGGTAAATGTGCCGGTTGAGCTGCTTTTTCTTTTGTCTGCTTGCACATCTTCTAAATAAAACAGACCCGGAAACCAATAGGAGGGAAAACACTTAAACAGGCGTACAGTACGATATTACCTGCAGACAGACCAACACGTTATTATATTTTATTGACTGCTTGTTTTCTGGCTGCCTTTAAATACCCCTGGGCAACGTGGGAAAATACTTTGTGTCTGACAGTCGTTTATATCTTGCTTCACATTTATATAAAGATAATGGGAGAAATTCTGTTATTCAATTAGTTTTTCAGACAATATTTGAAGTTTTCTTTTAAATATTGGAGTTCTTTGGGCCTCATAGACTAATTTGAATAAAGTATTTTGCATAGTTTGGGGAACGACTCATAGACATCTGAACTATCATCCTCCTTTTAGTCAGAGCCAGAAAAATGTTTGGGAACACCTGGTTTAAACTTAAAACATTTACTGATTTGAGATCATTTGAATCAGAAAAGTGGTAAATACTTGTAGCTAAAAAGGTACAAGTATGCCTTCCTCCAAGCCGTCCTTAAGTACAGTCCTTTAGTAAATACTAGGGTGTACATACAGTATAAAGGGATAACTTTATGGAGTCTGAACTTTATTACAGTTCCTCTGAATCCAAAAGTTGACCGTCAGCCAAGTCTTGCAGTTATGTAAGATTGCATGATTAGTTACGGGGGTTTTGTTTTAACAATCAGTTTCGGAGTCCCTGTTTTTATTTATTTATGACTGTAACGTGCTGCTTTAGAGGCACCAGGTGTACCTAAGCACGAAGAGCAAATTAAAGTTTTATTTTAAGTTAAGTGAGACTGCTCAGGTGGAGCTGGCTGCTCATAAAAGTTGGTTTTATAGCATATTAAGTGGCACTTCCACACCAAATATTGCATTTTGCAAATGATATTGCATTTGTCCCAGGATTTGAAAGCAGTTATTTTGCTGTTTGTTAAGGAATTTCAATAAAGAATAACACACTCGCAGTTATGTCTGTCCTGCGGGAAACACGATAAAAAAGTTTCCTTCAGGAACAGCTAATAAGTGTAATGTATAACTCTTGAAATGTCACAACATGTCAAAATATGTAACAATACGATACAGTGCAGTGCTGCAGGGATGCCAATTGTTGTCGCCCAACCCTAAAAAGTAAGCATTGGTTTACCTCGAGAAAAGGTCAATGGGATTTTTCCATTGGATTTTGGATTCGTGCAGAAAATAATTAACACCACTTTAGGATTTCTGAAGTCAAAAGCTAATGTTGAGCTATAAAGGAACTACAGCCTGGTCACATGACTTCACGTCACCACCGCTAAGCTAAAGGTGGCTAATGATGGGCTATAGAGTGGCGAAGTCCCTCCCCTTCCGGTGGACCTCCATGGGACCTTATTTCGGAAAAATTATGTATTGAAGTCAATGGAGAGAGAAAGATTATCTTTCGATCCCGTTTGAATTGTGCCACGAATTACACATATGATGTTTGTCAATTTAAAAGATAATTTTGCAAGTCAAAAAAAAAAAATGTGTCGTAAAACTGTGAAGTAACACATTTGTTTGTGTGAAACGCTCAATAAACTACATCTCTGGTCAACAACACACGTCACCAAGATGGCCGTCACTACTGTCTTGTCAACAAAACGATTGACTACCCTCACTATCACCACAATGAAACACGTCCTGAAGAAAGTCATGCAAAGCTGCCTGCCTGCCTTCCTTTGATTCTCTCTGAACTGCCTGGTCGTTTTAATGTTTAATGTCAACCATTTGTGCAGATAGCATGAAGTAGCTATCGCTAGCGTTAGCGTTAGCATTTCTCCCCCTGGCTTAAATGGTGTATAATAGAATGATCACACCGGTGACAGTACTCTTCAAAGGGTTCACGAAATATGACTACTACTCTTACTGTTTAACATTTTGGGTTACTTAATGTTACTTCATGTTAAGGCTAATACAAATGACAAGGCTGTAATGCTAACTAACGTGCTAGCTACTAGCTAGCTTGGTCCACACACTCCTGGTCCTTTCATCAGACGGGAAGCGAAAGAACGAGCAAGACCCATTGCTGGTATGAACAACCTGGTACTAAGCACACAGGCATCTTGTTAAAGTTATCTTATCTTAGCCAGCGCCATATAGATAGATTCTATCTATATGGCGCTGATCTTAGCTATCTCAATTGTGCTGATCTTAGTGTCTCAATTGTGACATCACTTACGCGACTCTGGGATTTGTAGTCTTTCTAGTTGCGTATTTTTCATAGTCTTATATTTCAACAGTTTTACGACAAACTGTGACTTTTTTGACATGGAAATGATTTTTTAAGATTGACAAACATCATATGTGTAATTCATGGCACAATTCAAACGGGATCGAAAGATACGTTTTCTCTCTCCACTGACTTCAATACATTATTTTTCCGAAATAAGGTCCCATGGGGCGGAAGTAGATGGGCGTGACTTCGCCACTCTATAAAGGAACTACAGCACGGTCACATGACTTCACGTCACCACCGCTAAACTAAAGGTGGCTAATGTTGGGCTATAAAGGAACTAAAGCACGGTCACATGACGTCACCACCGCTAAGCTAAAGGTGGCTAATGTTGGGCTATAAACAGGGGTGCACACAACTTCTTCAGTGAGGTACTCAGATGTACCTGGAGTCGGTCTTTGGTACTCCAACTTCTGGCGATTGTCAACGGGGGGGGGGGGAGGGGGGGATGTAGTGGAGTACAGCGCTTCGCGATTGTCAACGGGGGGGGGGGGGGGGGTGGAGTACAGAGCTTCGTGACCGCGAGCGTGTGAACGTTGTGATCAGCTGTTTTAGCACAGGGACCGACGTTAACAGCAGCCCTGTCTGTGCACACGGAGACCGACTCTGTCGTCCGGTGAACTAATCGCCTTCTGGAAAAGCTTCACAAGTATGTCGGTACGCAAATGCGCTTTGTGACACAAGTGACGGTACGCATTTCAGATTGTTGCTGCGCATGCGTACCTGCGTACCAGTTATGTGCACCCCTGGCTATAAAGGAACTAAAGCACGGTCAAATGACTTCACCACCGCTAAGCTAAAGTTAAAAAAATCGACTTTTACGCAAGGGATTGCTAAAATTTGAACTCTATTGATATTGTTCCCGCTGAACAACAATAAAACATAACATCCCAAATAGTTTGACTTCAAATATACTGGACTATAACTTAATGAATTTGCCTGTATTCCTGTATTCTAAGAGTCCCTTCAAATGTTTGTTTTGACCAACAGACCTAAACCCAAAGATATCGAGTTTACAATTACTAATGGAAAAGCTGTCACAAGTGTTTTTTTTAATAGTTTTGCTTGAAAATAACCTGATTATCCTGATTACTCAAATAGTTCAATAACTAATAATTTCAGCGTCTTTTTTTGATTTTCACATCTTTATTTTTTCTTGCTGTGGCTTTGTTAGTGCGAGAATCTCCTAGACTTGATTTGGGCCAAGAAGGCGACCAGTTTTCCAACAAGTTTGACTAAATATATCCTCGACAGTCATAACTTTAACTTTCCAAACGTACCTGTATTCATACGTTTCGAGAGCTCCGAGAAGCATAAAGGATGTTTTATTAAAAGCACTTCGAGGAGCTTTCAGGCAACAATCGTCTCTCTTACTGTGAGTTACAGAAACTTGAGATTCAGGCGCCCCCCTCTCAAAATCTCATGTGACGCATCGTGGATCAAAACAGCCTCTCTGACGTCAGAAAGCACCTCAGACCCCACAGTAAAGTGCTGAGGCATCGAAAGTCAGGGTCAAATACTCCTCCATCAGCAGCAGAGAGAGGAAAGCCGTATTTATACAACATCCACAATGTGCTGTTTGTACGAGAAGCTGCAGCCAATTAGAAACTGGATCCTTCACCGCCACGCAATCCACAGGAGAAGTGGAGGTTTGAATGAAATACCTTTATATATAGAGAGGAATGTATAAGAGGGCTTTGAAAAGTCTCTGCTGCTCACGAGAGTTTCATATCAACCACACAGCGGTGTTTAGTCTGTGGCGTGTAATTATCTGCTGTAGTTTATTTTCTCACCGTTGTTGTTATTGTTGCATCATGCAGAGTCTCAGAAAAGTCAACAGGAGGGCAGATTATTGAACATAATAATCAAAATCACTTTTCTTTGCACATTCTGTGTCCAAGTTGTTGAAATGTTTCTCATCTTCTTCTTTTAGAACCAAACAAATATTAGTAAATGTTATTTCTAAAGCTTTTTTTATACAAGATATTCAGCTCAAAATGCTTTTCAAGAATGAGAACTATACAACTCATTTAAAGAAAGCGAAACAGGCATAATGTGAAATCCCTCTGGCACAATCTGTTATGTTATCCGTAGTAAATACAGTGTCAAGACACAAGACAATCGGAGATCTCCGGACACCAAATTAGAAGATTTCTGAATGCAGAGATTTTAATAACATTGGCAATTTACCTACATGAGTACGGATGAACGGCAGCTTTAATTCCTGAAATAACTTGTTTTGAAAAGTCTAGTAAAGATCTGTTTTCTTAGTTGAAACAACAGTATTCCCGTTAGCTGGTATGGATTTTGAGCGGGAAAATGTATTAAAACATGCCGGATTTTTGGCCAACAACTCCTTTTCTTTAAAAGCATAAACCCATATATTAACACCACTGTATAATTTTGAAGGGTGAATGCAATCGGCAGTAATTATGAGCTAATGTAATGCTATAAACGAACTACATCGTAAGGTTGCGCGCCACCACTGCTAAGAAACTTGGACCATGACACAGAAGTTTCGCACATTCACCAGTTGGGTATTTACTGACATATTTTAAGTTGTTCAACAGTGGCCCCTAACCTTTTTTGCTCAACAGACCGAAACTTTAAAATCTCTTCAGCTTATGTTAACCACAGACCTAATTTCGGACCTCAAAGACATTCAAATAAATGTTCGTTGTTTCAGAAAACTCTTTCTTTCTCCTCTGTTTTCCTCTCAGGTCTTCCCAGTCTCTGCTCTGCGTGGTTCCTGATATCTCCGTGTTCAGCGACGGATGGAGATGTCTTCGTCGAGTCCTCACCGTTCCTCTGGCTCTCATCAGATCGGACGGCCTGATCTATCGGACCTCCTTCAGCTTCACTTACACCCCCGAAATAAAGCCTCCCCCCAGCAGAGGAACATCAGGGGGAGGAAAGAGAGAGGGAGGGACGGAGGGAGGACAGCAGGAAGACGTCCTGTTAGAAACCATCCATCAGGAGTTCACCAGAGCCAACTTCCACCTGTTCATGCAGAGCTAGGTAGACCTCAAGTTGGTTCAATGGTGGAACTTTTTCAAAGAACATGACGCCTGTCAATCTCTTAGCAATCATAATGAATTCAATCTCAAGTAGAAGTACAGATACTCGTGTTTAAAAATACTCTGTTAAAAGTAGAAGTACTGACTAAACTTCTTTACTCAAGTAAAAGTAAAGAAGTATGGGCTTTGAAATGTACTTAAGTAAAAAGTACCCATAACTAGCAGCTGTTTTAAAGAGTACCTGACCTCCCTTTATATTAATAGAACAATAATGTCATTGTTAGCTAATGAATGTTTCCATGCTGAACAACGGCAACATGACAACGTTTTCATTGGTCCCTCTTCTTTAGAGAAGACCAGGAAATGATGGATACACGGATCGTGTTCAAATCAATAGGCACGCAATGACTCTAAATAATAATGATCACGCCACCAAACACACATTCAAACTAAAGGAACCAGCCTGTTTGGAAAATGTAAGAAGTAGAAAGTACAGGTATTTGGGTTCAACATGTAAGAAGTAGAAAGTACAGGTATTTGTGTTCAACATGTAAGAAGTAGAAAGTACAGGTATTTGTGTTCAACATGTAAGAAGTAGAAAGTACAGGTATTTGTGTTCAACATGTAAGAAGTAGAAAGTACAGGTATTTGGGTTCAACATGTAAGAAGTAGAAAGTACAGGTGTTTGTGTTCAACATGTAAGAAGTAGAAAGTACAGGTATTTGTGTTCAACATGTAAGAAGTAGAAAGTACAGGTATTTGTGTTCAACATGTAAGAAGTAGAAAGTACAGGTATTTGGGTTCAACATGTAAGAAGTAGAAAGTACAGGTGTTTGTGTTCAACATGTAAGAAGTAGAAAGTACAGGTATTTGGGTTCAAAATGTAAGAAGTAAAAGTAAAAAGTCGTCAGAAAAATAAGTAGTGGAGTAAAGTACTGATACCAGAAAAATGAAACTACTTAAGTACAGTAACAAAGTATTTGTACTCCACTACTTCCCACCTCTAATCATACTTGAATGTACCATTAATCCGATAAGAAAACAAGTTTTATTCAGAGGGAGGACAGCAGGAAGACGTCCTGTTAGAAACCATCAGGAGTTCACCTGTTCATGCAGAGACCTCAAGTCAATGATGAGAGGGAACTGTTTTTGGATCAATGGTGGACCTTTTTCAAAGAACATGACGCCTGTTTCTGGACCACAATATTCTTTCTTTGTCCTTTTCATGTTGGAAGTTTGATACGATACGATACGATAATACTTTAATGGTCAGATCAAGTCTGAAATGTGACTTGCATCACAGCAGCTCCATGAGTAACATCAACATAGACAGATATCAAGACACAATACATGAAAAACAACAAACATTTAACTTGCATGAGAATATTGCATTGATATGACTGAAATTATTGACAAACAAGTCCTAGTATATGATGGGAACAAATACTATTTGTACAATATAGTGAGAAGGGCACAGTATGTAAATCAATTCATAACGTACATTTGATTTAAATGTGTCTTTTGTGTAATTACAACCTTTGTTCAAATCTCTTAGCAATCAAAATAAATTGTAATCATATTTTAATGTACCATTAATCCGATACGAAAACGAGTTTTATTCGGAGGGAGGACAACAGGAAGACGTCCTGTTAGAAACCACCAGGAGTTCACCGTTTTTGGATCAATGCTGGACCTTTTTCAAAAGAACTGGACGCCTGTTTCTGGACCACAATATTCTTTCTTCGTCCTTTTCATGTTCGAAGTTTGTTGCACCACAATATTACATTGATATGATGGACATTTTGAAAGACAAGTCCTGCAAATTATATGATTGGAAGAAATACTATTTTTACAATATAGTTAGAAAGTACAGTATGTAAATCAATTGATAAGATACATTTGTGTAATTACAACCTTTGTTAAAATCTCTTAGCAATCAAAATTGTAATCATACTTGAATGTATGATTAATCCGATAAGAAAACTAACCTACGGTGTCTCATGTTTAATTGTTTTCTGATATAATTTCTTCTCACATGAACATTTTCCAGCCAATCATGCTTTGTGTAGGTTTTCTAATGTTTAGGTATTAAGACTTCAACTTATCTCTGCATTCATGTTTCAATAAAAGTAATTTGATGGACTTTTGTTATATTCATCCTAGCTAGTCAGCTTCATTAAAAGCAAAGAAATGAACACCACTAAGCTAAAGGCGGACTTGTGTCGGCATCATGAAGTTTAGTAGATTATTTAGTCACTTGTTAGCAACCACTGTTTTAATGACATATAGCAGGAGCTTCAGCCATTCACCAGTATTTTATATTGCAGAAGAAAACATGACATCTCTTCAGCTTGTTTTAACCACAGACCTTATTTCAAGCCTCTAACTACAATGTAGTTTTGACTTTGAGACAAAGGGACCAGAAGTCATAATATGCTGACTCATTTCTGGTTTTAGGGACTCATTACTGCACCACTCTAATAGAGAGGAATTTAAAGGACTTGTTGAGTGGGGTGCCAATGGATGGAAAATGAACAGTTAATGCATCGCAGGTTGAACAGAAAGCTACAGAGATTATTAAATCTACAGGAGGCTATAGAGAGCTTTAGCTGATCCACTGAAGGATGTTTTTTCTGGAGAAAGGACACGCGAGCCGGACTCCAGTGTTGTGAGAGAAAGCAGAACTGAAACACTTTCTACTTCACTTTTGATCCTCAGAGAAACGGATTTCAACTCGATATACTGTGAGAGGGTGTGTGTGTGTGTGTGTGTGTGTGTGTGTGTGTGTGTGTGTGTGTGTGTGTGTGTGTGTGTGTGTGTGTGTGTGTGTGTGTGTGTGTGTGTGTGTGGCACTTTGTTGCACGACTGTAACTGTAATAATCCACAAGGGTTTGGCTTTCTCCCAGAGGATCACGCCGATTGTTTCTCACTTCACTTTCAAATGGAGCTTTGGGAAAGCAGGGAATTGCACAGAAAAAATATTAAATAAAACACGCTATTAAATGCATACAATATGAAAAATATTTGCAAAGAAATCCCAAGATAACAATAAAACCCTTGTTTGCAAACGTTAAGGTCAATGCTGAAAATAGGGAATTGAGGTGATTTATAAATAAAGACTTTATGATTGCCTGTGTGAACTCTTCATGTCTTTAAGAGAAATTAAATTAAATGATCAAAAAGATGTATAGTTTGCGATGGTGTATTATGAAAGGACAAAAGTCAGCAAAAACCAACAATGTACTCGTTAGCTGTTAGCCACTCACATGATCCAAAATTGTTCAAACTGAATCGATTGGTTAACTGTGCCATGAGTCAGCAGTCAATGAGTGTACAGAATGTTATTTTAGCACAGTTTTTAAGGCTGATTCAGTAGTTCTCAAAATGTGCAGGATGAAAGATTTTAAGCGTATGACGTCTGGATCTGAAGTTATCGGAGAAGAAGCTGAGCTAATGTTAGCTTTTAACTTGTAGCTACTCGGTCCAGTTTATAATAGAGAAACACAGATTTGTTTTGTTTGTCAGGTTTTAATAAGCTGTTTGTTTTGGAGAGGAGGTGACGTATTACTTATAGGATAATTCAGCCTCCAGTCAAATCTTCATACTTGTCAGGGTGTTAACTTAACAGAGACACAAGCTAAACTAACGTTAGCGGCAGCGAGAAACTGATTTTTAACCTCAAACTTGTTTATTTAGTATTGTGACCGGTTTATATCAGAGCATAACAGAACATGCTGAATGCATCCTGAACCAGGAACACTGAAGAAATCCTAAGCAGGAGAAGCCAAAGACTACAACTCCCATGATCCCACGCAAAAAAATATGATTGAAAGTTTAATATCGTACATTTAAGCCTTTTGTCTAAGACATTTATATTAAGTATATAAGTATTAACTGTAGTGTTGTCTCCAGCCTTTACTTCTCTCTCCTTTTTTCAATATTTTTCTACTCTCCCTTTCTTCTTTTTCTTTTGACCTGTCTGCATTTTCTCATGTTTCCTCTCTTTCTTCGCCCGCTGCCTGTCCATCAGGCTGATGTTGAGGCGATGACATACAGGAAGAGGATTGTGGTGAGCAGAGCAGGTTTTTGGACAGTCGGCTCCTTTATCCCACTGTAATACACAAAGAGAGCCACAGAGACAGGGGCCCCTCGACCACACTGTGAGGGATGTGAGGCCCCCGGTGTAATAATACTGCTCCCGTTCACTCACGCTCACTCACACGTGTGTTTTCCCCGTGACGACTCAGAAACTTAATTCCCATTCTCTTTCATCAAACAGAGAATTAAGCTTTTTATTTACGTTTACACTCACCTTAATCCTGACCTTTCACCTCTTATCCAAACTCCAGCTGCAGGAGGACTCGAGATGATTTCCTCTTACTGTTTCTTATCAGTAAAAGAAGATTTTCATAAATGTCCTTACAGAGCCCCTCCTCCAACACACACGAACGCGCACATGACCAATGAGGGCACGAGATAAGTCTGTGCACAGATGGAAGGCTGACAGGCAGGTAGGCCATCCAGTTATTTTAGCCGGGCCGGCTCAGATGATTGGTCGTGCTTTTTACAGTACTACGGCTTCCACAGGTGACATTTTTTAATGGATTTATTGTCAAAGCACTTCAGATATTCATTGCTATCGGGATGTTAAGAGCATTCCATGGAATATAACAAAAAGGGTATCTCGAGCTGGTTTCTTACCTACCCCACCTTTAAGTCTGTGGATGAGGTCAAAGATTTTGATAATAAATACACAATGTATTTAACTATTATGTAGCATAAAGAAAGGTTCAAACAAACACAGATTGAATGCTGAAAATGACAGATGCTCACTTTGAGGCCCGATGCAAAGTGAAGGGAAACAGTGAAATGCCCTTATGCTACGGAGGGTTTAAAGTCATTGAACTCTTTCTGTAACGGTGTGGAGGAGGTGGAGGGTTCGCCTGAAGAATGAAGGTGTGTTCCTGCAGATGAGAGCCTAAGAATGGACCCTTTCATACA